TGAGCTTCCTCATCAATAAAATGAGGGTAATAATAATCCTTACTTCTGGGTTTCTTGTGAAGATTATATACAATAATAGTACTGATTAAGTGCTTAACACCTTGCTTGGGACATAAGTGAACATCTGAGAAATGGAAGCTATTATTTTTTTCCCAGTGTTATATATTTTTTTCTTTTTTGGGGGGTTGGACACTGTGTTTATTATTAGCTTAAAGCTAATAACTGCAAGATATTGTTGGCCCAATTTCTAGCTAGAGAAACAGAAGGCAGTATTGTAGGCTAAGGAAAATCCCAGTTTGTCAGCCCGGTGGCTTTTTTTTTTTTTATTTTTATTAATACGCTGTCCCTGAGAAACATGGTTGAATTTGTTTTACTCGTCTTCTGTCAGGAAGTAACCCTTCTGGCTTTGTTAGAAGCATGGTTTGTAATAATTGTACCCAACCCAGATGGCTCCTGAAAACCCTTTGAAATGCCATCTGCCAGGCGTGTGTCCAGCCAGCAGCCTGTCATTCTGCTACAAGAAAAGAGAAGGCGGGGTCCCCTCCCTGGGTCCTTTTCTCCAAAGCATCGCTGAATGGAGCCTGGTCAGCCTGGCCCAGACCCAGGGCAGGCTGCTCAGAGGATAGCTGGGAAACCTCCTGCTAGCCTGAGCATGGAAAGGTTTTGTCTGGGTAATAAACCCTGAACGGTTTATGGGTGGAGACTTGCCCGCCCACCCACTCCCTTCCCCTGCTGCTCTAAGGCATCCTAAGCATATTTATTTACATGGAAAAAATGGGATCTTAGTTTCATGTTTCCTCTGAAATCTAGCATTTTTGACATTCTTGATTATTTTGAATCCTCTCAGGAAATTAAGACCCCAGGGTGATTGTTGTCTTTAAGGTAAACCTGATAAATTGGATCTGAAAACATCATTGAAAGAATGGCAAAGATGGCTGCAGAAGGAGAAGAAAATCAACATTGTCTGGTTTGGCAAGACTATAAAACTCAACACATTTTTTGTTTTGTTTTATTTTGTCCTCATTTTTTTTTTTTTTTTTGAGATGGATTAAGTTAATGGAACTTTGGTATGGAGGCTGAATATGAGAGTTGCCATATAGAACATATTTAGGACAGATCCTTTCACAGCAACTTTCAAAGAGCTTCTATTCTTGCACTGCACTGGAATTCCCAGTGTGATGTAGACTGTTTGTGTTTTATGAGTAGCTGGCTGAACAGCTTTTTCACTTGGCTCCAAGACATCACACCCTCCTTTTTTGCTCCTATCTTGCTGGCTACTGCTGCTTAGTCTCCTTTGACGATCTTTCTCTTACTCCTATCTTCTAAAAGTTAAAAGTTCTTAGTGTTCACTCCAAACTTCTTGGCTTTTTTTTCCCTAAACTCTCTCTGTAGATTTTATCTGTGTCTCTTACCTTCAGATGCCTTTGGTTTACTAATCAACTGATCACCCTTATTATTATTAAGTTTACATTCCACCCTCTACTCTCACCTTCAGACTTTTAAGATCAACTGTACTCCAGCTCTCTGCACCTAGCTGTCTATTAGGCATTTCAAACCTAACATGTCCAAAAGTGAACTTTTGATTTTCCCTTTTCCCAAAACCATTCCCCTCAGCCTTCTCAATCTCTGCAAATGGCACAGCCCATTTGCCCAGATCACAACATAAGTATTTCTGTCTTTATTCTTCTGTCTTTCTTATATACAACATCCAATCCATCAGCAAGTTCTATTAGTTCTGTCTTCAAAATATAGACCTAACATGGTATGATGAGCTGACATACTTTGTTTTTAACTTTAATTTAATTTTAACTGCTGAGATACTTATGTAGGACGTGTGAGTTTGTTACATAGGTAAACATGTGCCATGGTGGTTTGCTGCATCTGACAATCCATCATCTAAGTATTAAGCCTCACATGCATTAGCTATTTATCCTGGTGCATCTCCAACCCCCTGATGCTCTCTTTCCTCCATCGGTGGGTGGCATGGAGAGCATCAGGATAAATAGCTAATGCATGCGGTGCTTGATACCTTGATGATGGGTTTTACTTTTAATATGTCTGTTCTATGGACTGTACTGTAGCTCTTTAAAATACTCTGTTTGTAATAGAAATCTCACTGCTTCTTATCAGTGCTGTCCTACTATTCTAGTCCATATCTTGATTACCATTCACCAGGACACTATGGTAACCACCTAACTGGTCCCCCTGCTTCTATTCCTGTCCAACCCACCTTACTCTGCCAAAACGTGTTCTCCTTGAAGTCAAAGAGCTTTAAAAAAGAAAACCAAGCCAAGTGCGGCGGCTCATGCCTGTAATCCCAGTAATTTGGAGGCCAAGGTAGGAGGACTGCTTGAGGCCAGGAGTTGGAGACCAGCCTGGGCAATATAGTGAGACCCCCCCCCAATCTGTACAAAAAAAAAAAAAATTAGCTGAGTGTGGTGGCACATGCCTGTAGTCCTAACTACTCAGGAGGCTGAGGTGAGAGGATCTCTTGAGCCCAGGAGCTATGATTCCTCCACTGCACTCCAGCCTGAGCGATAGAGCAAGACTCTGTCTCTAAAAAGAAAAATAAAAGAAAAGCCAAATCAAGGCACCCCCTTGCTCAAAACCATTCTAAGAATGGCATTCCATTATCCTTAGAATAAAATATGAAGTGTTTTCTGTGGCCTACGTAATCTTGCCCCTTGCTTTCGTTTCCAGCCCTTTTTTCATCACTGTACTGCAACCATGCTGGCCTTTCTGCCCTTTCCTCGACACATCAGATCACACCTGTATCAAAGCCTTTGCCCTTCCCTCTGCCTGGATGCATTCCCCATCATCTTTGCATTCGCCAGGCTCTTCCTCATCACCTAGCTAAAATAGCTTCCCTACTTCTCCCTTGCTTCCTCCCTCCATGACACTGTCTAAACCTTTAACCTATGTTGCTCCAAGATACCTTCTGATCCTTCAGTCTATAGAAGAATGATTTCCTCCTGACACTATATGCTGTATTTATTTATATACATATTTGTTTTCTGTGTCTCACAGTAACATATAAATTCCATGAGGGCATGAGCTTTGTCTTGTTCACAAGTGTTTCCCCAGTGCCTGAACTAGTGCCTGGCATATGTTGGGGCCTCAGTAAATATTTGTTGAATAATGCCATGGCATTATTCATGGCAATATGTAATGCCATGAATACACACACACATACATATACAGATATATATATATAAAATAACAGATTATTATAGTGGGATTTGAACAGTAAGATTCTATCAATTAATTCTAACAAAAACATAAACTATAATGTCTACTAAAAATTTTTGAGCAAAGCCTTCAGAAAGGATTATCTCATTCAATACACACAACAAACTTATGGATTAGGTGCCATTGTTGTCCCTATTTTGCAAACAAGGACACTGAGAAATAGTAGACACTAAGGAACCTGTCCAAGACCACAAGTTGGAGAGGTAGACCGTGAACCTAGCATTCCCGCTCCAGATCACTGCTCTTTAACAGTATGTGATACTGTCTCTATGTTTCCTGTGCCTGACACTTGATATGTAAATTTAAAAGTTGTGAACTACCTCAAGAGATTTGTCATCACCTGCCAGGGGAGGCACGAAATGGGAACAAATTAGGAAACAGTGTAAGAGTATCTGACTTCTTTAACCCCAAGGCTGTAGCATGCTGATTATGAGAAGCAAACATCTATAATATAACCATTCTATGCCCCATTTGCAGCTATTTAAAATATTCAGATTTCAGATAGAAGAATTGTGTACACTAAAAATACATTTTGCCTGAGTAACGTGTGTAGTAAGTGTTGAGTGTTTTTGACTTATGAAAATTATGAATATCCAGTATAGGTGTGGATGCGGTCATTCACATGGGCAAATGATCAGAGACTGCACAGCGCTAAGAACTTTAGGGCCACTAGGCACATACAGTTGGTTATTTAATTCCTAGGCATAGGGAAATATCCTTGCTTATTATATAGGAAAACATTGATGTTAAATCACCACCACAGGTAATAATGCCTTGCAAAATGAGCTCTGTTGAATGTAACAGCAGAAATCACATTTTTTGCTCTCTCTTTTTTTTTTTTGGTCTCATAATATTTAACATAGGCTCCTAGTACACGGTACATAGTTGCTGCTTGGCTTATTTTCCTTTCTTGACTTATGTGTAAACCACAGTCTGTTCATTGCTTCTACTTTGTTGACTGAGATTGGGCTAAAATGTTAGATCCACAGCCCAGCACCTGAGCTAGGTGACTTTTGTTCTCTGGATGCTCTGCATGATTTCATAAGAGGAAGTGTTACATTTGTCAGCCACTGAGAAGATGACCAGATTAATTCAGGGGGAGAATTTTCTAGCAAATGCAGTGTCCTTTCTTCCTAGTCAGAATTCATGGATGGCCTCTTTTTGCCAAACATATTAATTACATGAGGAGCAGCAGCATTTTAATCGCTGGGAGATGTCCAACCACAGATCTTGGGTAGTCAGATTTCTCTAGTGATGTGTTTATGCAGCAGGTGTCATTTTCTTTAAAGAGCTTTGGAACTTGCCGGTTGTATTGAGGAACACAAGAATTTCAAGACCTGTGATAAAAACACAGACCCCTTAGGATCTGAGCTTAAGGTGGATACATTTTTAGTATTTACTAGAGTCCTAAAAGCTGCTGACTGTGAATGTTGTCTGTATAAAATCCAGTTCACCTTTTCTATTCAGTGCATTGTCAAAAATGGTATAAAACTCTCTCTAGGTGACCCAGCTGTGCTTGTTTTTCTCTCTCTCCCATTTGGGGTTCCCAGGCACTAGAGTGTGGCAGTGAGAATGCTATTGTGTTGTGTTAGAAAGAAGTTGCCTTTACCATGTCCCTGTCTGGACAGATGAGGCGGCAGAGTCTTAGGTACGCCAGCTTACTAAACAGGTTATTTTAATTACACCTGGATGTGGAACTTCCTGTTTTAGTTGACTGATGGTTTGTTGTGCCTTTGTATTTTCTGCTACAGGCACAACCCGATCTCCCAGAGAAGGAGAAGTGCCTGGCGTGGACTATAACTTTCTGACTGTGAAGGAGTTCTTGGACCTCGAGCAGAGCGGGACTCTTCTGGAAGTCGGCACCTATGAAGGTGAGTTACTTGTATGACAGCATAAAAAGCTTCTCTTCTGGGTACTTCAGAGGAGCCCAGAGCCATGCGGGCAAAAATGTTTTGTGGAATCTGGAGGTCTAAACAAATAACAGGAGATTGCAGTTCACTTTAATATGACGAATAATAGCTAAAGTCTGTGGAATAAGGCTTTGTGGAGCTCTTTAAAAATAGTTTTTGTTTTTCTCTAGGAGTTTTCTTTTTTAATTTACCTATTCAAGTGTGCGGGTGTGTTTTGTTTTTTAATATGGACATGTGTGGTATTAGAAAAGAAGGAAGAATCATGGTTAATCACAAAATGTGACCCTATAAGTAGTGTTGTTTTAATCTTGAAGAAATAAAATGTCACTTTCCTACTGATTGATTTTTAATGTATTTTTATGTGATTCATAAAGCAAACTATTTTTGTTTGTTTGTTTGTTTGTTTTGAGATGGAGTCTTGCTCTGTCACCCAGGCTGGAGTGCAGTGGCATGATCTCAGCTCACTGCAAGCTCTGCCTCCCAGGTTCATGCCATTTCCCTGCCTCAGCCTCCCGAGTAGCTGGAACTACAGGCGTCCGTCACCAAGCCCGGCTGATTTTTTGTATTTTTAGTAGAAACGGGGTTTCATCGTGTTAGCCAGGATGGTCTCAATCTCCTGACCTCATGATCCGCCCGCCTCGGCCTCCCAAAGTGCTGGGATTACAGGAAAGCAAATTATTTTTAAAATATGTACTTAAGTAATCTGCGTATACCTGTCTCCCACCTGCCTAATTTAGGATTCAATATTATAAATAATCTGATTACTCTTCTGAAGTTGATATCAATACAGACATGCATATGCATGTGCATATATACATGTGTGTATACATGTGTGCATGCATGTTGTATGGATATTCCCATTTCTTCCCTGTTTTCCCCAAAAGGCAGTATACAGTACATGCTGTTTGGTACCTTGCTCTTTTTGTTTAACAATATGTCTTAATAGGTCATTGCAATTCGGTAATAAAGCACTTCTGGTTTTCTTCTTGAAATATAATTATAAAAATTTTATTTCCTTTGTATGGGCATACCATAATTTATTTAACCACTTCCCTCTGAACAAATATTTGAGTCAATTTCAATGTTTCATATTTCTAAACACTGCTGAGTTGAATGACATGAATGTATCATTTCACATAGGTGCAAACATATCCATAGGATCAGATCCTATTGCTGGGTCAAAGCCGAATGTGGTGGAAAAAAGTCATGTTTTTCTGAAAACAGTATTATAGCTTGATTACTTTTTGGAGTGTTATTATTGTTTGAGGCAGAAGTGGCACAATCATACTATTAACTAGGACAGATTATTAACTTGGTCAAGTTATTATGTGTATCTCTTTACTAACTCTTTAAAATTTGGATTTATTAGGCATTCACAGGAACATTTTAAAGATTAGGCATAAACATAAAGGGTAAATACAAAGTAGATTATTATTTTATTAGCGACATTCTAGCTTTAATGTGATAATTGCTCCTGTTATGGTGACTAACAGTCATATCATGATCATGAATCTTAAAGATGCTGTTTCTGGTTTGATATTCTTTGGAGAAGGGGAGGAGCATTGTCTTTGTACATACTGCTCGTTTCCAAATTGTGAATATACAGTAGACAGTGTATATTAATCAAACTCCTGCTCATGAAGTCAGGAATTTTTATTTGTTTGTTTTTGAGTATTGCTAACTATCAGTTGGCTTAGTTTCCTGAAACTACATGTTGGGATGTGACTGGGTGGCTGGTGGGCTGGGCAGGAGTCTGAGAATAATCGAGGTCAAGGAGTGTATAGAGGGAAGGGAGGGGGACTGCGGGAAGGTACAAGGAGCTTCTTCAACTTGTTGTCAGCATGCTGTCCTCACATGTTGTACATGTGAATTGAGCTAAAACTTCAGTGGCCATGGATAGAGCATGTGTGACTCCTCTTTGGTTAGCAGAGAGAGAATAGTCCTCCTCTGAAATCAGTTATGCCCATCTGGGGGGCTTCAGTCATCAAATATACAAAACATCTATTTGCATTTTTGGAGAGGCTGGGGTAGGAGTGTTTGTACAAAGCAAAAGAGGATTGGGTCGGACAGGAAAAACTTGTGATTTAGGCTCCAATTTAACTTGAAAGATGGAAAGTAAACTCGCTTTATTCAATGTTAATGGAACAAATGATATATAGGTGGAGTCAGTTCTTTTTCTCATTTAATTTTATCATTGCAACAGAGGCAGCTATTATCTTCACTGAATTTTTAGATGGAGACACTGGAGCCAAGTGGCATTAAATAACTTTTTCAGAGTTGCACAGCCAGTTCTAGAATGCTAGAACAGGAACCAAACCCAGATCAATGTGACTCTCAGATCCTACACTCTTTCCTAAAAACCCCAAGAATATCCTAGATGTAACTAAAAAGCTAAGGAAAGTAGCCATTAGTACGTGAAGCTAACTTCCTTGTGTGTAGCAACAGAGGAATGTTTTTCAGAAAATGTCTGATTGTCTTATAGAAAATGGTGTCTTTGTGAGTGTTGCGTCGTTATTTTGGAACTGGAATTTTCTTAGGTGTAGGATTAATCTTTTCCCCTTCTAACCCATTTGACTGTGCAGTGTTCTTCAACCTTTGGCCTATTAGCAATGAAATTTCCCTACCACATGAGATGGCTCATAAGTTTTTTTTTTTTGGAAACAGAGTCTCACTCTGTCGCCCAGGCTGGAGTACAGTGGCACAATCTCGCCTCACTGCAACCTCTGTCTCCCGTGTTCAAGCGGTTCTCCTACCTCAGCATCCTGATTAGCTGGAACTACAGGTGCATGCCACTGTGCCCGGCTAAGGTTTTATATTTTTAGTAGAGTTGGGGTTTCACTGTGTTGGCCAGGATGGTCTCAGTCTCATGACTTCGTGATCTGCCTGCCTCGACCTCCCATGGTGCTGGGATTACAGGCATGAGCCACCGTGCCTATAATTTTTTGGAACTGACCCGAGTATACTATATTGACTCTTAAAAACTGAGAGCCAAATGGAATGTTTATTAAATGCCTTATGCCCTCAGAGGAGTAGGGCTGGAAAGACATTTAGAGAACTTTCTCTGTCTTTGCCTCTCCTGGATAAGTCCCTTGATGGTGGCTGCTGTCTATTGGTGGACACTAACAAGCTTGCAAGCCCTGCTGTCACACTGCCTGAGTTTGATTCTCAGCCCTTTTGCATTGAGCTGTGTGCCCTCCGGCAAGTTACTTAATGCTCCATGTCTCCATTTTCCCATTGGTAAAATTAGGATAATAATAGTGCTTCCTCAGAGGTAGGGCTAAATGAGACAATAATTGGAAAGGGCTTAGCAGAGTGTCTGACACATGTAAGCTCTCCATCAGCGTTAGCTCTTGTATTTACACGCACCTAGTTCTAAATTGCTCCCGTAGTGGATCCCTTTCCTCTCTACTAGTCAGTAAACCAGCAGATTTGCCAGTGAAATGTCTTTATTTACTTCCCAGGTACTCACCTTATTTTTTACCCTCCTGAAATTGCTTTCTCCACACCTCTACTGGTTCCAGAGAGGAAAAGTCTACCACAACAACACAAAGCACTCTTTAAAGCACGATATGTATAAATGTTTAAGTAACAGTAATAAGCGTACATGATGGAATAGTTCCTACAGTAAAAGACTTAAAACTAGCTAAGTCCTAGTTGCTTCCCCTCTTCCATATAGGTAACCATTATTAAAGATGCTAGTGCAAATGTCCGGAAAACTTATATGTACACAGCATATATGTATATCTTGTTTATTTCACTCTGGTATTGCCCTTTGCCCTTAACACAGCTTGGAGATCTTTCCACATTACCCCATACAGTTTCACCTCATTCTTTATAAATGCTGCATAGTATCCCAGTGAATAAGTGTGTGTGTGTGTGTGTGTGTGTGTGTGTATGTGTGTATATAAAACTTATTTAACCAGCCCTCTGCAGATGGACATTTTAAATGTCCCCTGCCTTACCTCCCCCTTCTGTTTTTGGTGGTGGTGTTATAAACAGTGCTTCAGGTATCTTGTTATACAATTATGAGCATAACTGTAGGCTAAATTTCTGGTAGCACAGTTTTAAAGCAAGCCTTTTAATGCATATATAATTTATTTCAACAAGTATTTATTGAGCATTTATTTCAGGCCAATAATCTCTTCTTAGTTCACATGGTAAACCAAGGATAGAGCTGGGATTCAAATTCAGGTACTCTGGCTGCAGAGTCTATACTCTTCCCCCGCTCAGTCTTGTGAGGCGGATTAAACATAAACAATTTTGTTGGGCATGGTGGCTGACACCTATAATCCCAGCACTTTGGGAGGCTGAGGTGGGAGGATTGCCTGAGCTCAGGAGCTCACAGCCAGCCTGGGCAACATGGCAAAGCCCATCTCTACAAAAAAAAAAAAAATACAAAAAATGAGCCAGGCATGGTGACGTCCACCTGTAGTCCCAGCTACTCGGGAGGCTGAGGTGAGAGAATCACCTGATTCTGGGAAGTTCGAGGTGCAGTGAGCCACGATCACACCACTGCACTCCAGCCTGGGCAACAGGAGTGAGACTGTATAATATATGAACGAATGAATGAATGAATGTAAACAATTTTAAGAAAAGTGATGAATGGGTCGGGTGTGGTGGCTCACACCTGTAATCCCAGCACTTTGGGAGGCCAAGGTGGGCAGATCATTTTAGGTCAGGAATTCGAGACAAGCCTGGCCAACATGGTGAAACCCCCTCTCTACCAAAAAAAAAAAATACAAAAATTAGCTGGGCTTGGTGGTGCATGCCTATAGTCCCAGCTACTTGGGAGGCTGAGGTGGGAGAATCACTTGAACCCAAGAGGCAGATGTTGCAGTGAGCCGAGATTGTGCCACTGCACTCCAGCCTGAGTGACAACGTGAGACCCTGTCTCAAAAAACAAAAAAAAAAGAAAAAAGAAAAGTGATGAATGTTCTGAGAGAAACTACACAGCGCTCCAG